TATATATATATATATATATATATATATATCTTATATCGAGATTGTATATCGAAATCTGTAAAGGCTCGTCTAGGAATTTATAAACTGTAAAACTCATATATATCGAGAGTTGTTTTTCATGTAAGGTACACTTATTGCGGGTACGTTTATTATTACGATTTATTAGTACGGTTATTATTTCGCGCGTACGTCATATGTGCGAAATTTGGATGATTGTGCCGAAATAACTTTTACGAAACTCTTTTTCTTAATTCGCAACCATTTTGCAGCATTATCTCGATCGTTAACGTACATCGCGTATAATGCGATCAGTGAAATATTCAAAATTCTTTTTCTCCATATGTCTCCACTTGCGACTTGGTATAATAATCAACTTTTCACGTTTGTTTCAATACGATTTCAACATCCTTTCCAACTGACGAAATGACGAAGCGTGATTTTCCTCGAGAAACATTGGATCTCTTCCGACGCGGTGCACATTGAAATTCAAATACAATCAATGGAATTCCTACAAACATCGATCCTATGAAATATTCAAAACGACGAAAGCCGGGATGGCAGGATGATCGCATTGCCGTACTTCGGATGGCACACCTTCGTTCTTTCGTACTATGTACGAACTCTCGTGAGAAATACGACATACATCATCGTCCTTCAACGCGCCAGAATTTTCCGTTATTATCAGCCGATAAAACATTTAAATTATACACGTGATGTATTACCTCGCTTGCTACTGATCAGCGATATACTTCTAAATAATAAAGAAATAAAACGCAAAAGAACAACCTTTCGAAAATAATTGCAAAGAAACGATGCAATCATCGCTCGGCATACCGTCGAACAATCCAATATCCTTATTGCGACACACTGGAATGCACTCGAGAAGTCTGGCGTTCGATTATGCTGATTCCTATACTATTTCGAAAAGCAGTGGGGCTAAGCAGCACGGAGCTCGACGCACAGCAGGTAGACCGGATCGGGTCTTTTTTTCATATCCTCTGGCAGGCCAGTCGAGTTCGTTCGCTCCTCGCATCGATTCTACCTGAACAAGTGCGTCCAAAGTGTTTCCAACGGATTTCACACGTGTTTAATAAACAATACCGAATCAATACACACACACACAGAATTTATTCGGTATCGAATGTTCGTACATATATATCGAGAGAGATACGCTCGCGAATAATACGGGCAACAAATAAATATCGTAACGTCGGTGCGAATCGTCTGCCAAATATTTCCCGGGGAGGGGGGAAAAATTAATAATAATTTATTAATAAATAGTAACTGGTATACATGTTTCACGTTTCAAAATATACTTTTATATAAAAGTTGACATATGGAGAATATTTCTTGTGTAATTTGAATCCATGTACTATCCATTTGCTATACTGTCGTATCACGTGCTGCATTAGCGTTACTATATGTATTTATAGGAAATTGAGAAAGACGGCAGAGAGACGGTGTGGCTTTTGCACATGTATTACAGTTGTTTCTGCGAACTTATTCGCGTTCTTGCGACGAATCCAATTACACGTAACTGTCTTCAGGATTGAAATATGTGGCCGACGTGTATGAAGAGACATTCCACGATGCTCGGATTGGCGGTGTTGATGACCGCGTATTTGTGGAGCGCTGAGACACTCACGATCTCAGCACTTTTATTGATATTTCTAGGTAAGAGGATCCTTCGAAAGTCGAGACATAAGTGAACGTGGGATCCTCGCAGGAATTCATAGGATAATCATTCTTCCACCGCGTTTTCTTAATACTTCCACTGGTTAGCTTAACCGATTAAGGCACACACTTCGGCATAATGCATGAGAAGGCGAGCTAATCAGGATTCTTCATTTCCATCATGAGGATAAATACATAGAACTCTAATTGGTTTATCTCATGCATGCATAATTGCATTATGCCAAAGTAAGTATGTGCTTAACTTAGCGGAATTGATCAATTGTATTGATCAGTTTAGCTAACTGGTTAATGCGTTGGTCGATTCCGATTAAGTTGCAAGTGGCCCTAAAATCTTGACATTCGCTCTCAAGATATTCAACTCGTAAAGATACACACATGATCGTCGCTGTTAATAGCTTGCTTCAGCACAAAGTAAAAACGGACTCTAACTTTTGCTTCTGTATCATTTACATCAATTTCTTTGCATCACTCTTTTTTGTTTTCCACATAAATTTATTCGCAAAATAACCGACATTTTTTTTTATACAAATATTTGTCGTCGCTACAGGATATCTCGTAATTTCTTGTGAAAAATTGTTCGTCCTGCTGTCAAAGGATCGACAGCATTCCAACGGAACAAATCAATTGAAAGGTATATTATATTCAGCAGGAATCACTTATTGGTATCGTCGAGAGGAATTAAACGCACAGCGTCTCATAGTCATAACCGGCTGCGACTCTGGTTTGGGATATAGTTTGGCCTTGCACTGTCAGACCTTCGGCGCCACAGTCATGGCGGGAGTGCTCAATCCGGACGGTCAGGCTGCCAAAAATTTAACTGAGAGCAAAGTTATCGTTCATCGCCTCGATATTACCGATGAAGAGAGCATCAGACGGTTCGGACAACACGTCGAGATCCTGTGCAACGAGAAGAATCACGGTAACGAATGTCATACAGAGAAGAGAAACATTTCATTCATTCGCGACGATCGTACACAGACGACTCGCACGTGGAAATTGTAAAATCTGAGCGCGCTTGCGCAACTGTGATGCGTGCATCGTAATTACTCGTTATATTATTTTTATCGTCATAACAACCACTGAAATTGAAAATTTCTATGTAAACACCTTTCTTCCAATTATCTTTCTCATTTTTCAGTTTCAGAACAACGATCGCGTAATTTCTCCTCATAGAGCGGTAAAAATGCTTTCGAATAAAAAAATTGTTATTTTTCACGAATTCGCGCTAGGGGACGTAGGGACAAGTCCATGAAAAGTGGAAGAATTTGCAAGTATCACGCGACCTTCAATCGACCGATGCTCACGCGAAGATTGTGTTTTTTTCTCCATATATGAGTGTGTTCTCTCGAATTCATTTGAATTTTCACAAGCGTCGCTTTCGATCCGTTTTTTTTTTTTCTTTTTCCTACGTCGATGTTGTCTCTCTACAAGAGAGGAATATGCGTTGTGTGAAAAAAAAATTAGATTAAGAAAAAAAAGTGAAATGGAAAAAAACTGTTGTCCTTACGCACGTCTTCGTTCTGTCCCGCAGATCTGTACGCGTTGATAAACAATGCTGGAGTGATGATCTTTGGCGAATTTCATTGGCAGACGGAGCATCAGGTCAAGTATCAGGTAGCGGTGAATTTAGTAGGAACGATGAGAATTACGCAGGCTCTCATGTCGGTTATACTATCGAACAAGAGCAGAATCATCATTATAAGCAGCCACTGCGCCGAGGAATTCTTGCCAGGCTTGAGCGTGTACGGAGCGACCAAGGCCGCCCTCCGCGCGTGGTCTATTTCTCTTCGGGTGGAGCTTGCCAAGTATGGTGTCAAAGTGATCTCTTTCATACCCGGTAGGTGTATAAAAAAACGAATGGAGGGAAGGAACATCATTCAAAGATATTACTCAGATCCCATTGCGGAATATTCTTCGATAAAACGTTCCAATCAATCTCTGAATTATCATACGCCGACTTTCATCGGGATATATTTGTATGTGGAGAAACTGTTAACTCAACTTGTTAACTCATTTGTAATGTGGAGAAACTGTTAACTCAACTTGGGGGAAAATTGTGACAGAAATAATACAATTTTATAACAAGAAAACGAACAACTGTGTAAAAGTGTCGCTTCAGAGACTTTCGATCTAAGTGCTCTTCTCTGCCAATTCACCGACGCTCAAATGAAGAAACACGTTTGTGTGCAACAATATAGGTAACTTTACCGGAGAAAGCAACATTATGGCGCGTCAGCGGCAGTACTTCAGTGAGATGCAACAATCGATGAAGCCCGAATCGATGGTCTTTTATAACGACTATTTCTCTCGATACGTAGAGTATTATTCTTCCGTCGCGAGGCAAGACGATTTGAAACGTGTGACGAATTCGAGTATCTACGAAATATTCGATAAGGCTCTTCTCAACGTTAATCCGTCCGCGGTTTACAAGTGAGTGGTTTAAATAAATTGAATATATCTTGTTACTTTCGACAGTTTGACATACTTTACGATTTTAAAGTTTTCTCTAATATATTTCGGAAATCAGATGATGATTGTCCAAATATATATATTTTTTTCAGATGTGAGTCGTGGAAATATTTTTTCTACTACACATCTTTTAGATACACGCCAATGTGTGTGCGCGACAGATTGATGAATAAATTCGTGAAAACTCCCTCTTGGCATGAGCCGACCTATCATCGTGTACTTTGACATCGTTGCACTTTGTTCGACAACAGCAAATACAGCTGGGCTTGAATGAATCGATATCAAATTATCAGCAGTTGGCTCTTCACCTGATTACACAATCTTGTTGTTACATTGCTCTTATATAGAGCAGTCCAAAAGAAAGAAAATTATTGGATTCAAAATCTACGACATCATCTTGTCGCGGCAAATGCATTTAATTAAGAAAAAGAGAAATATCAAGTTCAGGAATAAACTCTGTTAAACCTAGACTTTCTCCAAAACGTTACAAAGTTATGGAAAACTCTACGGAAATTCAATTTTTGAAGAATGCGATTTGAGCGTTCGCGTCAATGGATATAATTTCATTTCAACGATAGATATGTAAGAAACGAGCATGTACACTCGATATTATGTAAGGGAATGAAACATGATATATTGTTTAACACGTTAAGTGCCACGTCAGTCACCGGTGACTGAACTTTCCGTTTAGGCCGCGTCAGTGACTGACAGTATAAAGCACGAGGGTTGATCCAGAAATAAGGTTCCCATCAATTTTACAAATAGACAACATTGTTTATTCTCATAGAAATTTACATCGTTGGAAAGATGAAACTTTGCTCTATTTTTCTACATAATCGCCATCTTTTTCTACGCATTTTTGTAGACGGTGCTCCAATTTCTGTATTCCAATGTCGTAGAACTCCGCCGCCAACCCGTTGAAGAAGCGTTTCACCTCTTGTCAAGAAGTTAAGGAAGGTTTGTTGGACTCCATTGTTACTGGAGACGAAACGTGGGTGTTTCATTTCATTCCCGAAACGAAACAACAATCCAAACAGTGGCGTCACCCAGGGTCACCAGTCGCAAAGAAGTTCAAACAAACTCCTTCTGCTGGCAAAGTCATGGCCAGTGTTTTTTGGGATCGTAAGGGGATACTGCTGATCGATTTCATGGAACGTGAGACAACAATCAACTCAAACAGTTATTGCGCAACACTGAGAAAACTCAGGCGAGCTATCCAGAACCACCGACGAGGACGACTGACAGCCGGTGTAACGCTGCTTCACGACAACGCACGACCTCACGTCTCCCGTCAAACCCAGGAACTTTTGACACACTTAGGGTGGACTGTCATGCCCCACCCACCTTACGGACCTCACGCCTAGTGATTATCACTTGTTCCCCAAGTTAAAGGAACACTTGGGTGGCCAACGCTTCCGGAGCGACGATGAAGTCAAAGAAGAGGTGAAACGCTTCCTCAACGGGTTGGCGGCGAAGTTCTACGACATTGGGATACAGAAATTGGAGCACCGTCTACAAAAATGCGTAGAAAAAGATGGCGATTATGTAGAAAAATAGAGCAAAGTTTCATCTTTCCAACGATGTAAATTTCTATGAGAATAAACAATGTTGTCTATTTGTAAAATTGATGGGAACCTTATTTCAACCCTCGTACGATATAAAACTAAAAAAATTACATAGTTTAATAAGTAATTTAGGATCGTATAATTAATATACTTAAATGTTTCTTATCAAAAAATTTTAATGGATTTGGCCTGACGGAGATTTCCTCCGAAATGCTCGTGGCAGTTAACGTGTTGATAACAATAAGAAGAATGAGATGACTATCATCCGAGATATTGTAGCGACTAGTATGAACATCTAGTATTGCTTTCGTTGGATACTTTTCTTTGTAAATAAAGTAAGAAAAAATCAATTATCGCTGATACTTTTTTCCAAGAGAAAACTGATTTTTCGGCGTGATTTTTTTTATCGGGATACAAATCGTCGCAAAATATCGAAATACACGCTTCACTATGCTTTACGCGTGTCATTCAATTTATCAGAATCAATAACTGTCATGAAATTTCCAGTGTCTCGAATCGTTCGTTCATATGCAATGAATACGTTGACCGATAATTTCAACAAACTTACAATATCAGCGCAGGTGTTAGTTTCAATCTCGAGCTTATCGCTTTTTAGGACTGGCAGGTGTTTGATTAGATATAAACAGATGGAATAAATAGCCGACTCGCGCCGTTCGATGATCAGATAAGTTGTCGTCGCATCTCGTTAAACTTGATCAGAAGAAATGAGAGCCTACGCTTCCGGTAAATCCATAGTAATAGTAGTAACTAAGTAGTAATAGTAGATTCGTCAATCTGTTTGCAATTGTATTGTCATTATTATTCGACGTTTAACCGATATGTAACGTATTTCGTACAGTCGGCATCATCCTCGTGTTCTGCATCGCGGTCTCTCTGCAGGATACTCCTTTCGCGCTATGCTCCGACGGACCTCCGCCAAAGTTATTGCGGGTGGAAGGATGCGACAAGCTTCCTTGCAAGTTGGTAAGAGGGACTGATTTGATTGCGGAATGGGATTTTAATGCCAGTAAGTAGTACAGCTATTGTGTTGCTAGTAATTCGACATATCGGGTTGTCGTGTCGATGAAAAAAGTTAAACGTGAAATGGCGGAGTCGATCAGCAATTTCTATTCGGGGATGAATGTTGTTCTGCCAAATAGTAATAAAAATTTATGTTTGCTCGTTCCTAACGTTATATTCCTATTGATGGAATATATATATATATGATTATATTAATAGAATATATATATATATATATATATATTCTATTAATATAATCATATATAAATATATAAATTTATAAACACATATATATATTTCCGTTATAGGAATATAATATTAGATATACGCAAACATAAATTTTCACTACCATCTGGCAGATAGCATCTTACAGCGTTGCGAATCATTTTATGATATGTATGGAAAGTGAATAAGGAATTTCAATTTGTTGATATCGAGACGAATATTGCATATGATATGTAGAAAGTCAGTCGTGATAATAATGTATAAAATTGTTAATATTTCTGAAATGATTTATGCCAATCAAAGCTGGTGCGTCTTTTTTAAACATCCAAGAAGGATGTTGTTACAATTTTAAATTGCTGTCAAAATAAGTAATACGTACCACCCATAAATATTTTTGACATCCTGTATGAGTGATGATCGCTATGAACGTTGTAGTCGAGTTGTTGGAATGATTTTTAAATAAAGTGTTGGAACGAAATTTTTTGTAAGAAATGTGATCGGATGAAAAGAAAAAAAGTCCCCTTTTGTTTCTCGTAGGGAATGACGTGGAGAAACTGAAAACCCGCGTCATGGTTACGCTAGCAGGAATCACAACAGAATATCCGTATCCCGAGCCGGATGCGTGCAAGTCCTTATCGAAAGGCGAGTGTCCGCTGGAGAAGGATGAAGAAGTTACGTACAATCTTAACATGCATATAAGCGAATTTTACCCGCCGGTGAAATTAAACGTCGAGTTTGCTTTGCTTGACGAGGAGACTGAAGAAGTTCAGGTGTGCTTCAAGTTGGACGGCAAAGTGACGGACAAATAGCTCCATCGTTGGATTAATATGGCGGAGATATTTAATATATGTGACATAAAAGGAGTGTGATGGAAAATTTGCGGAAAAATATCAGCGATTTTTTATCAAACGATTTGAGATAACATCAAATTGTTTAAAAACTACCACTTTATACTATATAATAAGTGATTTTTATACGTTGAAATGAGTTACGAGTCGGTCAAGATGAAGCGTTCAGATTTATAAAATGATGTAAAGACAATGAGAGATGTAAGCAAGAAAGAGAGAGAGAGAGAGAGAGAGAAAATCATTTAATAAATTATTTTGTCACATTTTCATCTCTAATACTTTTTTCTTCTGCGGATTTTCTTCATAATGTAATAATATTTCCATGTGTTGAAAATACCGAATAATTTTAGTCAATAGAATTACAGTAAAATATTTAAAAGATATAAATAATGTCAAATTTTGCGATTAATTTTAGTATATTCTTCCGATTTTTATGAAATTTTACAGATTCAAAAGAATCTTTTTTTCGTTTTCTTTCGGACTTTTTAAATAGCCTTGTTGAAAATAATGACAAATTAATAGATTTCTTTATTAACCAGAAATTATTCACGGAGATATTAAATGCAACCATATTAAGATTAAATCATGAACTTGTGTTTTTCAAGTATAATGCAACGATGGTACAAAAAACATGGTCATAAAAAACGTATACGATATAATACAATTTGAAATCCACTTCACTGGCTTTCACATTCCAAATTAACTCTACAAAATGCATGTGGGTAGATTCATTATATATTTTTTAATTTTTTATACGTCCTCCTTGAGTAACATTTGCACAGTGATCAGTTTAGCTAATTGGCAACTGCGACTAGTTAATTCCGTTAATTTAATCAGTCGATTAAGTTAATCGGTCGTGTGACATATCAATTAAACGTCACTCTAAATAATGAAACACTCACGACACGCAAAAATCGTTCCTACGTACTCACGAGTGCTCGCGGTGTTAGGATGATTCCACATTAGTTGCACAATCGCAAAGTCGCAAGAAATTGATCAATCACACAGTCGATTATTTTCGATCGCAAGGAAAATAAGTGACTGTGATTGGTCAATTTCTTGCAATCTTGCGATTGTGCGACTAACGCAAAACCTCTTTACAAGCATTGCGAGCGTACAGTGGAACGTATCTATAATATCGGAGAAGCGTCGCACCTAACCAACATCTAATCTTAAAAATAACGTTATATTCTCAGAAACGATTTTTGCAGTGTAGTAGTAATATTATATACTGGATCAGTCATATCATTAGATTTTTATCCTTGCGCGAATTTGATGGCGAGAAAGTTCACGTGAAAAATTTCACGTTTTCATTTTTCGCCGAGAGTTAGTTCCGGTCTACAATAACTGCTTTAAGCTCTAAACCTTAATAAATTGACCAATCACAGTCGAATAGGAGGAGAATAATTGATTGTGATTGCAAATAATGGGGACTATTTCGAGGATTGACATATAATTCGTTTTTTGTGAATAAACGTCAAATTCATATGAAAAAAAGCACCAAACTTATTTGATCAAAATGAACTGTTCAGGGCAATTTATGCAATTAACGGCCGAACAAAATCGAGTTCTTTGAAGGAATTCTACAGGAGATAGAACGACGTTTTGTACGTAGGAATTGGACGCGCGGTGGAAATAATGAGAAAGCTGGAGAATGCACAATTGAAGTAGTCTCTTCTCTTGAAAAGTTGTCATTTTGATAAGAAAACGTCCTCGTTTTACATAGGCAAGCCATTGTACATAGCAAATTGTAATAAACTCTATGTAATACAAACAACATCCTTCGTTCCCCGGACGGAACTCATTCACGCGACGAAGGTATATTCGTGCCGGAGTTCAGCAACAATAAACAAATAAATAAATAAGTATATATATATATATATATATATATATATATACATATTTATTTATTTATTTATTTATATTTATATATTAATATATAGAACGTTCGGTAATTTATTCGACAAACATACAACAAGATCATGTGTAGTTCTTTTTTCTTCTTTTTCACTTTTTTCTTGTCTTAACCGCGTGTCCAAAGGCACACTTTTTTACATATTTCATATAATACAGTAATATACAAAATTAACATCTCGTAATTTTCTATTAATACGTGAATCTTTGCGTCACGTCAATTTTTGTAATGTACAAAGCGCGAATATGATGTGTGTATCTCGTAGCGTTCGTGAACATTGTGCCATGTGTGTGTATGTGTGTGTGTGTGCGTGTGTGCACGTGTATATATGTATGTGCGTGCGTGCGTGTATGCGTGTTTTGTGTAGTATGCGACCCTGCTCCGACAATTAGAGAGAACTGATCGTCCCGCTATTATCACGTTGACAACGATTACGGTAGCATTTAATACCGGCTGCTATTTGTAGAGCACGATCGTTTCGTACATGAGAGATGCACCGTTCGTTCCATCCGTTACATTCCTGACATTTTACATTTCGCGTGACCACCGAGCGCGATCCACGAATCGCTGATTTTCGATCGATGTACTCTGACAGCAGGAACATTAAGAGGAGTCGACGCATCCAGAGCTTGACGGAATATATTTCTAAATTCGAGTTAAGAGAGGCGTTTTTCTCATCGATTTTTCTGGATTTGCCAGTTCTTTCTCTGGAATATATTCCTATCTCTCTCTCTCTATTTCTCTCTTTCTCTCTAAGCACATCTGTTCAAATGTTCTTCGTCACATCACACCAGTTTCTCCAAACTGTTAGCATCTTCGATTGCGGCGAGTTTTCTCCGTTTCCCCTCTTTGATCGAACACGTAACTTTCGACTCGACCGGCCGCTTAAACATGAGCTACAATCACAGATGACGCATTAAAATCATATATGTCGCCAATCTTCGTTTTCGAGACGATTCGTCATAAGACCAAAAATGTATTAGCGATTCTACGCTAAGCGCATCTATTATGACCACCTAATCTGATTTGAAGTCGGTGACAAGATGGAGGGCAATTTTGCATCTTAGTACACATTTTGATATCGATTGCGTTCGCCACGTTTGATTGATCGCGTTGTCTCGCATATTCGCATAGTAGAAACACCGTGTGTACCGGAACGTTAAATTCGTCCAGAGTAACTCGATCGTATAGGATTTGATCGCGCGGTAACGAGAGGTAGAGGAGCACACGTTTTCGGAATGATCAGGGTTTTCACACACACGCGCGCGCGCGCACACACACATACACACACACATACACACATGTATCGGTAACTCGACGATAAGACATGGCGAAATTTGTAAATTTGAAACGTTGAACACGAAACAGAACGAAACGATTCGCAATATTTATGGACGTTTCTCATTGTTGCCATTTTATATTTGCGAAAAAAATTGGTATTACAAAAAACTCGATTAAACTACCTGACTAATGCGATGATATTTCGATTTAATTGAAGATACAATTGACGCAGCTTGCTTCTCCTTGGTCTCTCTCTCTCTCCCTTTATTTTTTATGATAACATTATTTCGAAATGAAACGATAAACTATTCACAAAGATTCACCAAAGGAAATATCGCGTTTGACTCAAGACCAAGAAGAAAGAAGGTTGCGAAAGCGTTAGTGAAAGAAAAAGTTGAGAGATTGAATCACCAAACTTGTGCGGTGGCAACCCCAATCACCGCGATCGTGTGTATATCCGCTTATTGCCGAGGCGTTTTCACAATTTGTCCGATTCTCGACATACTCAACTCGCGGACTGACTAATTTGACACCGATTGTTGGCTTGATGATCTTTAGCCGGCGTTCCGTCCGGCCATCAACAGCAGCAGCAGCGTCAGCAGCAGGCTCGACCTAGCATTCGTCGCGCGTCCGCACTGATCCTTGATCTCTCTTTCCCTGGGATGCGAGCGTATGCAGGACTGCGGTCGTTTCCGTTTGAGGCCGGTGAGCGCCTTCTGGCAAACTAGAGTATTATTCTCGTACATCACCTCCTCGGGCACGATGCTGAGCGACGGTAACGTCGTGTCGCGGCAATCGGTCTTCACCACCACCAGCAGCATGTTGCTCAAGTTCACCGGTTGGACCACGTACGGCCGCATACAATTCTCGTCCACATCGACATCGTACGTGTCGAAGGAGGCGTTACGCAGATACAAGTACATCTGTACGGTGACAATTGTGCGTTATTATGCGTTACAGCAGACACAGTGTAGGGAAACTTTGACATTATTTTTGAAAGCGTCTAATCAAATTTTCAACCACATTTGTATAATTCGTGTTGTACGTCATGTATCAATTTTGTTTTTGCCACGTACAAAGATAAGCTCTATAATTGTAGAAGAAGCACACATACTTCTTGGTCACACACTTCCAAGCGCGTTCGATTGATCAGAAAGTCCTCTTCGAACGATCTCTCGTCCTTCGGATCGTCCTTCGAATCGTCCTTCGGATCGTCCTTCGAGGCCGGCAGTTTCTCCACATTTTCCTGATAATCGTCGCGGACGACATGAGTTTCCTCGTCGTTGGCGTATGCTTCCACGTAATCGGATTCCCATATGCCCGTCTTTGCCCAGGCCCAAGCAGCTTGTCCAATCACCCACGACATTGCTCTCTGCAGATGCTTCCATGGCTATGACATTTTGTCAAATTTAGGTTTGAAAACTTCCCCTTCGTTATCCCGTAAAATTGTGTTTATACGCACACGTTTGTACTATTGTATGATATCGCTATGTTATTATAACATTTCAATTGTGCACATTGATGCTATTATTGTAACGCTCACCGTAAGCAGAATATTGCCGGCGTTGTTGGTCAGAGCATTTTTAAAGCACACCGCCTGATAGTCAAAAATCCTTATCCTCTCAAAAACGCCTTCTTTCACCAGACTGCTCATTATCGGGCCTCTAACCTGGCCGAAGAATTTACCAGCATCCTCCTCATCCTCGGCGGCGATTATATATCCGTTGTTATCGACTAGGTAGCAGGCCCAGCTGTCGTCGCCGCAGTGTTTGTGGCAATTCACGAGTCCCTCACAGTTGAACGTTATGTTCTGGAAAAGCGCTTGCAAGGCAGTATGCTGAAATTGGAAGCCAACCACCGCGGCTGGCGCCTTCAAGCTGCTTCCTGCGGATGTTTATTATTATTTTTTTCTTTCACATACTTGGCGGCGAAGCACGAAAGAGTTGTCTTTTATATCAACTTGCTACGAGAAAGACTTTCGAATGTTGCACTGCAAGTTGGAGTATTAGTTGATTTTGAATTCTCTCTTCGAGGTGTGGGATCCAAGTTACTCACCGACAAATATGGCACGACTGGCAGTGACTTGAGTGGTGTTGTCGGTACCCTCGTCGTCAATCGGCACGGAGAAAACGAAGCTTTCCGGCTGTACATAGTACTGCTCGACCGCCCGTTTGTACCACACCTCGTCGATGGTTCTTGGGTATAATTTGCTGAAGTGATCATCTGGCAATGGCGTGTCCTCGTCCAGCGAGAAATCCTGCCATCGGGTTAGACCGCTGTGTGTAGCCATGAACGCCAGTGTCACTCCGAAACGTTGTTGAAACTCCTTCCTATGGGAGAGGAGGGCTCCTTTTTATTACGGGAACGTCTCAAGATGTACGCACGATTTATATATATATATATATATATGTGTGTACAAGCCTCTTATATGCAAGCTCGCGACTCATTTGCGCCGTTGTGCTTTGCAAAAAATTTAATATTTGCATTCAAGAAATATTATTGTTATTTCGAGTTTTCATCCCGACAAATGAATACATCATTACGCTTATCGTTATATTTTCATTTTACAATTATAATCCCTCACAAGCAGCGATCAAGTTACGCTCGTCGGCATATATGATACATTTCTACCACTGTCGCCAATAGAAGACAGTCAGAAGACAGTCATTGACAGAGAAACGAAATGTCTTGAGATATTGCTTTATATTATTGTATTGTATCGTAAAAAAAAAAAGAGGAAAAAAACTGTAGAATAGCGCAAATGAGCAAGCGGATCGATACTATTGCGGCATATCGTCGGAGAAATTCCTCTTGCAGCCTTAACGCAAAGCGTTCTTCTTTCCTCAGGCCTCCATTCGACGACGCCCTACGCCCTACGAAGGCTTGCAAGCTAATTGTCGACGAGAGAGAGAGAGAGAGATAGAGAGAGAGAGAGAGAGAGAAAGAGAGAAAGAGAGAGAAAGAGAGAAAACCATATCGAAATGAAGCAAATATTTTACGAAAAAAAGATAACAACTCAAGAAAAGAAAAGTATTGTGATGATTTCCCGATCAAATTCAAATTGCAAGTGGCTTAACGTAAGCGTTAAGAAGCGACAAACGCAATCTTCTAACGAGAAAGGAACAATGTGAGAACAAATTACAAATTTGGGGTTTTCTGCGACAGAGTCCTAAGAAGAATGGAAAGAATAAGAAAGGAGGAGGAAGGAGAGAGGCAGAGATAGGGCCGCATTACGATAGTACGATATTATCGAACGGTCATTATTTTCTAAGAATGTAAGGTGCGTTGTGATGGCGTTACCTGGGCAGCAGATTCATCAGCCTAGCTAAAGGTCTGCATGGCGTCAAAGTGGTAAGTATATTAGTCAAAAGGAACAGATGCATTTTTTCTATCCTGATAAAAACGAGAGAAAAAAGAAAGAGAGAAGAACTGTGCACAAAAACAGGAAAACGAACACAGGACAAAGTGTTCGTGTAAAAATGCGCGCATGTAAATTCTTATTCTGATAAGGAACATGATTTACATATATATATATATATATATATATATATATATATATATATATNGGGGGGGAGAGGGGAGAGAGAGAGAGAGAGAGAGATGCGCCAAACTGCGACCAGTCGCTCGATTTTCCTTTCTACGAGGAAATAATTGTCACGCAATCCGACCAGAAGCTTAATCTTTTATCAATTCACAATTTATAATTTTATTGAATATTCAAGTTGATAGTTCTTCCTTCTATCAAACGGAACGATATAATGGACGATATAAATGGTTAATCTCTAGGCGAGTTATTAATCTCGCGATTGATATCATTTAAAAATTCATTGCTGATGAATTAGAGTTATGTATACTACAGATCTTCAATACTGGTAGTGAATAAGGGAACATAGTCCGCGCAGATGATGAAGCGTCACTTATTGACGGCCGCTAATAATCTCGTAGTACGAGTCGAGCGAATGACCCGAGCGCTCGGTTACTGATATAACAAGGAACACTCGTTTTCCGGGTGGCCATGCTGTGAAGGGCGCTTCTTTTTTTCTGTTTCTGTTTTTGCTATTTCGCCAGCTAATTGATCGAAATTATGCTCACCCTGTTTCCTCGCGGGTAGTGCTGGGATTTGCAAACCATTCGGTTACCTTAGCGTCAAAGACCAAACTGAGTAGCAGATATCTGTCACAATAGTACGAGTTCCTGTCAGCCTTGTAGGGATTAGCTGGAAATAAGTTTCTAGCTTATATACATGGTAAAATTCATTGAGATTGGTAGAATATAGAAATGTGATACTTTTTGATAATTATTTAAGAAAACATTGAAACGAACGAATCGATTTCAACTCACGATGCGAACTGTGACCGGAGCTCGCAGCGGAGTATTCCGGTGGTTGGGATCGTTGCTTCATGTCGATCCACTTCCAGCCTGGCTGACGGGTACGCTCCAGAAAATGTAGGAGCTGTAACTCCGAGGTGTTGAATCTGTGTTCACCCTCGTAGTGGTACCTAAGCAAGTACACAGCAAATGAGAAAGAGAAAGAGGGAGAAAGGTTTATTATTAACTGCATTTTCGTAAGGATTCTTTATATTGCTCATTGGACACTCACTTGCAGTACATCCAATGGGGGTGCACCCGCCAGTTACTACCCGCGAAGTAATCTGTCACGTTTTTTCCTACGACGGTTCAGTTCATTCAAATTCGGCGATTCGGGCGGCTACAGCGACGAAAGCTTCAGGATTAATTGATAAAAATTTTGACAAATCGATTAATCCAATTCTAATTCGGTTACGCCGACTTGAAAATTACAAGTCATCGAACCCCGTTTTCTTTCGTCGCGTCGACGTTGAATTTACTACATTCGATACGGCGAAACGCCGGTACAAAAGACACGCAGACTTAAAAAGAGCGACGAACAGTATTTCTAATAAAACGAAATTATTTGCAACGCTTTTCTCGGTGAAATTGACACGTGTTTTTCGCATGATATCTCTATCGGGAATTTTGAGACCGTGCATCGATGCTGTGAATTTTTACAATCGACTCGTGACTCTCATCATGCGGCGAAAATTTTCGCTGTACACATATCTCTCACACATTTATTTAAATTGATAAAATTATCGTACGCTTGAGACCCGGTCTACAATAGGTGTCTTAAATTTTAAGAAATTGACCAATCATAGTCGAATATGAAAAAAATAATTTATTGTGATTGCTTAATTTCTTAAGACTTAGGGCTTAAAGTACCTATTGTAGACTGATGACAGAGGTCTCCAATCGCATAATGGAACGTCGAAAGGAATTTGTTTGTTTGACTACATATACAAAGCGACGAGCGGAAGCTCGTAAAATTCGTCGTCAAAATCGGGACAACCAAGTTGAACAAATTTCTTTTGAACGAAGAAGGGAAACGCGTGATGTTCAGAAGCTTTCGCCGCTGCAAAGCAACGTACCCTTAACGTGAGATCGATGTATCTCCTCAGTAGCGCGCACACGATTGTTTGTAGTGTGATCGTACTCAGGTAGGCTAACCACCACCGTGAACGGAGTGTCCTGTATCCCCGTGTAATCGTATTTTCTCTTCACTCTGCCGACGCGTTTCTAAAGAAAGAGAAGCAACGCACATTAATTGTAATCAAGTATGATATATTTGTGTGTGCGTGCGTGCGTGTCTGTGTACCGTAATTATTATAAGAATTATAATTATATATTATAGAAATTAATTACGCCTATAGTAGCAATTATTACATTCAGTGTTTGCCGGTATCTAGATAAAATTATCTAAATAATCATCCAGATAAATAAATAGATCATCTTTATCTAGATGGAAAAACAATATATTCATCATCATCTTAGATAAAAAAAAACATGTTATCTCATCTAAAAATTATCTGAAACGATGTTATGGTCTATATTCTGAACTCACTTTTCGAAAAAATGCATGAAATAATATAGACTTATGCGTTAAACCCGTATCAGAATATTAGAGATCGAAGATTAGATTTCAATGAATCAACAAATTTCGGTTTTGTCTCTTTTGGTCTGTTTTTTTCAGCAGCGCACTTAAAAAGAATAGACCATTTGTTTTCAATTGATCGATCCACTTTAAGCGTATCAAACTGTCGATTATGAAGATCTATCCGACTGTCGATTACAACTCCCAACTCTTAATGGATCAATTACAATAGACTAGTTATATGACGCTTCACTATGATAGGCCCTTCAAGAATCGACAGTCGTAACCGCCAGTCAGTTAGCCTGATATGGGCTTAGAAGAAAACTGAAATAATAATTGATTGTACAGCCAAGTTAAAATTACCGAAATACCTTGAAACCCTATAACTTTTGTCTGAAACGTTTATTTTTGTTATATTAGGTATCTCAATTTGTCTCGGCCTGTATATACACTGTGTGATTAAAATGATATAATTATAAAAATGTTTATTCTGATAAGAGATCGTTTTCAAATGATCCTAATTTATCAAGAAACGCTGATGAAGCAATATACTCACCATATCGTCGTAATGATATTTCGTATGAAGCGTCGCAGTACCATCCGACTGATTCACCACGTCGTTGCGAAACTGGGGGAAAAACAAACAAATTTTTGCGATTCTTACTAACGACACACGCGCGTATCTAATGCCTGACAACCGATCGATCGATAAATACAGAAAACGTTATAATAATACGATTATCTCCGATTGTAAATCAGAAGATGTCATCGATATATTGTTGACAGTCTATAAGATGCAGAAAATTATGCCCATTACGCTGCGCGTATATGTTAAATAATTCATCAAAATAATTTATTCACCATAAGAATTCCTTCGTCGAATTCTCTGGGGCCTTTATCATGATCCATCAGTTCAACCTCCGTCATATCGACACTGTTATAAGCTGGCTTCAAGATACCCTGAAACTATTATCAATTGCGTATTATAACGCGTATCAAAAATATCTGTTATAATAAAACGCAAAACAAATGTCAAATCGTAACGCGTCGTTGATCCCAAGGAGAGTTTAAGAGTTTGAATTAATGTTATAATTAATAGAGAGAAAGAGAAAGAGAGGGAGAGAATATTACCACTGGCCGGAGATCGGGATGAATCAAGATGAAACCATTGTTCGTGACGATGAAAGCGTAGCCGTTGACGCCAAGCTGTTTGCGTGAAAAAGAAGCAAAAAAACTTGTCATTGCAACTTGCATTTGTCACCGAAGTGTTACCTTTGTTAAAACTACTATTGTAGCTATAATAATATCTTTTTTACGTCAACCTTTTCTCGTCAAATATCTCGCATTTAAACTACTCGAGATTTCGAGTGCTTAATTTAATTTTGTTCATTAACATGTTACTGAATTTCCCAAGTTTTTCGGTTATATTGATTATTCAGACGACATTATAATTTTCGCTAAAATTCCGGAATAAAAGTTTGTAATTTTATCTGTCGCGTGTAATACTGCGAGAGACTATATTCGAAGATTTGTAGATTTTCATCTATGAATATGTATGTGCACAACCTGATATTCGAGTATAAAATTTTCAAATGTTTGCTCACGAATAATATTCCGTCCCATGCACACAGAAATTTAATCGTAAAATATATAGATTATCTGAAGTGAGGATTTCGTATATATTACAGTAGAGAATATCGAAAATTTGCAATCTTCCAGCGTAATCTCTACATTAATAATATAATTTTCATCAATCTTCCCGTGAATTGGTAACACATGACCCATTTGATATGCACAGTGAATAACGAATATAATGCGAAACGATTAACGAAAAGTGTGCGCTCACCATATGCGGGATCATCAGCTTTTGAATCTCCTCGATAGGTACGTCCGTGCCGGCGACACCGAGAAGATTGGCAATCCTCGTCTGCGCAGACAATTATCAACACGTTTATTGAGGGATCCGCCGTCACGTGACGCCACTATTCATGACAACGTTTGTTATGTCGAAATAAATCATCATCATCTCAAGTCGCATAACCAGAAGCGTATCTACCTTCTCCAACAACGAGTTCTATCACAATGAGTTCATCTACAGAAACACGTTTTAGTATCAAGAAACCATATATGTGTGATAAAATGATCACCCCTCGCATGTATGTGTGCGTGCGTGGGCGAGTGAGCGCGCGCGTGTGGGGTAGTGTAGGTGTGTGTGTGTGAGTGCGCGTGCGTGCGTGTGTGTGTGTATGTGTGTGCGCGTCTGTATATGCGTATAAGTGTGTGCTCATGACCGATGAACAATTTTTATTCATCGGTGACGTTGCACATCGGGTGAATGAATATCAAATGAATATGTTAAATATTCATCTGACTTATGAACGTAACTAATGAATTTGAGACATGTTTTCGCCGATTGCCCATGTTAAAAACAGAATTACCGCGATGTTTATCTGCCGATATTTTCGACAAGAGGCAGCTTAAGACAGCAATACGTATAATGTGCGTGATGAAAAATGAATGGGACGAATATTGCGGACTAAGTAAATTTCGCGCGAGTATTAAATGAAGATTCTGTTTGTAGAGGTATTTTTATCAATTTGTTCAATCATTAAAAAAAAAAAGAGAGAGAGAGAGAGAGAGAAAGAGAGCGCGCGCGAGAGGGACGAGCAGTAAGAATCTTTTGCGACTGAACGCAATAACTAGCTCAACTACTGTCTCAATGTGATGATGATGATGACGATGATAATGATGATGATAATAATAATAATAACGATACACAATGAAAGACTATAATAATTAAACAACGCCAACAAATTCTCTCTATGATTAAGTAACAACATTGGACGCAGGCTATCCTAAATGTTAGTTCAAGTAACAATTAGCTCTGTTCCTTCGAAGCGACGACCTTTGTAAGCCCTCTCCTTTTTGTACGGGACAAAGAAGAAAATACCATTCGATTCAATATTTTTCTACTTCGTTTGAATTAATGCAATGGAAACGAATAGCACGTCATTGTGATGAAAAAGAATTCGGCTCGATCTACGGGTGTAGTCACGGGTCAATTTAAGAAGGAGAAGGTCGCGAAGCGACGGGTCGTCACTTGAATTAGATCTACGAATGTCACGGACTAACGAAATCTAGCACTCAATAAACTGTCAAATTCATATTTGTGTATACGTGCGTGCCTGCTGTTACTCGTGACGGAAGGAGTGAGCGCACGGACGCGAAGAGATGCGCGTATTCCGCAGTGCGTTCTATTATAGGTAGAAGTCAGCTAGGATCAATCATTGTCGTGCGAAATTTACTCTCATATCCTTATATGTTACCGTTTATCGTGTTATTCTCATCTTTTATCTTCTCTGAAGTAATCCGCAAAGAGAGAGAGAGAGAGAGAGAAATATTTTTTTCGACTAGCCTCGAAGCTTCTTTTCTCTCTTTTAATGCTTTTCTCCTTCTTTTTCCATTTTCTTCTTTATAAATGACGTCCGTTCGCACGCTCTTTCGATTAATATCTCTTTTTCGCGCATTAAAGATATATAGTTATGTAGTCACTGCAGAACGATCTCTAAGGACCAATGTTTTACGAGGATCGATTCGCCGTACGCAATCCAACAGGCGGGCAGCCTTTTTCTACTCGTCTCGACAGGACACAGGGTAGACTAACGTACCTAAACCTACCTAATGACTTGAAATAATCCCAGTACTAGTGTTAGATCAACATAAGATACCAGAGAAAGTCGGACCTAAAAGTGTTCGCGCGTCTACGACCTCGTTCCAGCACCTTCGCAACGTCGACGCTCGGTCGATTATTTTGGAATTTCATCAACAATATATTTTACATCTCGATGTTACCTTTTTTATATCGCAGATATGATGTCGAAAATTGATGTCTTGCAGCGGGATGAAAAAAGAAATAAATTCGCGCTAATGCGATATATTATTATTCGATTGATGCGTAATATCAGTGAGTGTGCTTTCGATGAATTCAATGAACGATGAGCTGGACAAAAGAGAGTTCACTTGACGGAAACGGATGGCGAAGATGAGGTCGTAGATCGTCGGTCGCGCGCGGAAACGAAAGATAAAGGATGTACACTATGCATTAGAACAACGTTGCTTGAGTTTTTTGTTTTAGCTGCCAACCTCTCTTGTCTCTGTCACCCAGTACGCTTCGTTCACCAGCACCTGCCTTGTGATGTTCTGTGGACAAAGAGGGACTTAAAACCGAAGAGCAAGTGTAGCGTGAGTATATACCCCGAGGGCGATTCGCGAGAGAGACTTTTGTTTCGGGAAATAGTGAGAAAAAATCCATGTGAAATGTTTACACGCTCGACGAAGGAATGTATATGATTCGAATATGAATGATGACGATACCGATTTAAGCAATCAGCACAAAATTTCATAGATATCGGGGTGAATTTTCAGCCGAAATGTTGCTGTGTTGTTGTACAACTCTGATGTGTATACACGGTAAAAGATTTTGCGTTAAAAAACGGAAGGATGTGTTAAAAAGTATATAATGTCGAATTAACACCATGTCAACACATGTTCGAGTAAAGTGTTTTTAACGCAAAATTGTGTAGAGAAAATACCGATAACGCAGCTCGTCCAATCATTGTGAATGCAACTTCCCCAACAACGAATAAAATGTCTTTCACCTCCTTCGCGGCTCGTACAACTAATCGCGCGTAACTTTCCGCGCGCGAAAAAGTTTCGCGTGAAAATGTTCGAGGCGAGGAAAAAATAGACGGACGACGAAGAAAGAGAAAGAAGACAAACGCGTTGCCGATAGAAAATTAATTTTCTCCCTGGGAAAGAAAGGAGGAAAGGATGGACGAGAGATATATATGAACTGGTACAATCGTCGACCGACTTTTAACGGCCAACGATTTTCGATGTCGCAACAACAGAAGGATCTTACCGCGTTCTCGCGTCGATCGAATACGGGCATGCTGACCGAAGTCATCAGTTTGTATTCCTGCAGATCGCTGTTCTGATCGTACCGTCTCTTCTGCTTCTTCACGAATCGCCGGTCCTGCTCCGCCTTGTTCTTCTTTTTATACAAAGCCAGGAAGCGCTCTTTCTGTTCTTCACTCTCGCGCTGTTCCCACAGCCAGTCAGTCATCTTCGGATCGGTTATGTCGGCGTAAACGGGTGTCCATATAGTAGGATGATCCGTGCGGCCCAGAACCAGGGGCCTCGCCATCACCGGCACGTATCTCAATACCTGTCAATTTCGAAAAGATGGTATTCGCGAGGAAGGAATCTCGGAGGCATGCGTTCTTTATTAAGAACGTAAGAGATGTTGGGCGCGAAATTGTAAAATTGTCCGACAGTGTGTAACATACTCGCCGGAGTACTGCGATCCTCCATTTCTTGCAATACTTGGATGAATTTTCTACAAGGATGAGAAGGGTCGTAATTGGTTGGATCGCTTGGAAAAGGTGTTACATTGTCGGACAATTCTATCCTCCTGCTAAGATTAAAAATTTCGCGTCCTGCTTTTATTATCCGTTCTCATTGGTTGTACGGAGCGCATGTTTGTTTCCGAATTATTACATGATTCTTTGCGGAAATAATCGAGAGAGAGAGAACAAGTAGCCGGGTGTGTATGGAAAGAAAAAGACACGGCCTATTGTGAGCGGAGGTCACAACTGTATAGAAATAGCGACTGACCTCTTCTCTGACCTCCGCCGGGGTGCACAGATGCACAAAGAAGCCTCTGTTGGCGCAGGCCATCCACTGTACTTCCCGCACATCGGCGACCTCACGACCGATCAGGTAGGTAAATATCCTAACGGGCATGTCGGCCTTCGGAGGCTCGTCGGGGTTGTCTTTCCAATTGTACGCCTCGAAGATCTCTTTGTAGTTGTACGGCACCCCGTCGGTGATGAGCATAATCGCCTGATTACATTTGGCGCCCTCCTTCTCGATGCGAAACGACTCGAGCAGCTCGAAGGCGGTGGTAAGAGCCAGGGAGAAATTGGCGATCTTCTCAGTATTGAGATTCGAAATGGCCTTCTTCAGCTCGCGCACGTTCGCCAAGTTCGCTTGCACCAGGGTGTCGTTGAAACACGGCACTACCTGCGATCGATCGTCATCGCAACGCAAACTCATTACAATTTCCTTTTGCTTACCTCCTTGGTCACGTTGGAAAAGGTGATGATGTTGACAAAGTCGTTGTTGCCGAGCGTATCGAGAATGTTGTTGATCACGTGCCTGGCGATCTCCCGGCGTATGCCGGTCATGCTGCCGGAGGTATCCATCAGGATGAGAATATCCTTGGGGCTAGTCGCCGCCTCGATGTACCAGCTCCTGGTTCTGCAGTCGAAGAGATCCACCTGTTCCATGTACCAGTTCATGGCGGGGTACTGGCGCATGAAGCCGGTCGCGCTGCCAAAGTACTGCCAGGACAACGACGGATCCTGCTCGTAATTGTTGATGAAAGTGCGGTCAAGCGCCTCGGACCACTTGATCGCATGGATGACTTTCGGGGCGCGCTCGTACACGTTTGTGGGTACGTGCACCGCGGACATGTTGACGTTCACGTTGCCACCAAAATGAGGACTGTACTCGAGCTCGATGGTGTTGTTCTTGGCGTTGATGAACGTAAAGGTCGACGGCGTTTCTACGTCGGGCGCCGACAACGCCGATGTCTCGGCCACGTCCATTATCCTCTGTGTGTGTGTGTGAGCAGTTTAGTCGGTTGCTCGAATAATTTCAAATTTGTTCGCACCTTGATAGCCGAGATTTTTGACTCCATCATGGCCTTGATGTCCTTGGCGATTTCGCGGACGAGGGATTTCCCGTCACGTGCCGTCACATCCGCCTGTTTGTAACTCTCGTGAAACTTCTCCACGTTCGTCACGTATTTGGCCAACTGCGACAGCTCGAAACCCAGTTTGTGCGCCCATGTCTTCACTCTGTGTGTCACACACACCCACACACACACAGAAAAAGAAACGCGAGCAATTGATACATACATATATAAGATTGGCAACGATAGAAGACTATGATACTTCATTTCTAAGGCCAATCTGTCCGATTATTTTTTCATCATGGCGCGCAACGTATTATTTTTCATCATCTAAAAATATGCATGCTAGGGGTTTATCCTCCGTGCATCTTTTTCTCTCTACATCACGGGTTGAGCGGATCATTAGTAAAAAGTGTAATATTGTCACAGGACGAAAAGAAAGACGAACGATGTATTCGTGCACATCGATTCAGCGCGACAGCGGTCTGACGAAACTGCAGTAATTGCGAAGAAAATCGACAAAAGCCGTGATGAATCCTCGAAAAAATGTAAGAGATCGCCGACTACAATCGCACGCAATAAAACGCGACGGGTGACAACCATGAGAGATGAAACGAAATTCTCTCTCCCGAAAGTCCTACATCATATCATCGCTACGACGTTTCCGTCGCGGTGTTCTTCATGGTTGACCTAAATTCCATCCCCGTCGCGACGATCAAAACACGCACGCGTTGTTATCGCACATTATCAAAGCATCGAAAACTTCAGAGAAATTAGACGGCGTAACATCGCTGTACATACGTGTTGAAGGAGATTCGCTGTTCGCTACGATCGGGTGCCTCGGCCAGGATCAAAACGACGACGATGGGTACGAAGCAAGGCCTCATAACTTCTCCCTGATCTATTAGTCGTTACGGGGCGCTGGTTTGCTGTTCACGCGAAGACACGGTAAACAACACTGAGACTCGCGTTTGACATCAAGGACCGTTCACCGTCGTCGTCGTGGTCGTCGACGTCGTCGCTTTCGTCGTCGTGCGCACTCGCTCAACAGTGTCGGGGTATATACGCGCTTTCGAGCTTATCGATTTTCCGAGCAAGCTTGCGCACGAGACGGCGCGCGATCAGCTATACCGTGACAGTTGGCTCGTCAATTGATAGGATTGTTTGTCTTTCGATGTACGTTCGATACATTCTTGGAAAACTACGACTTGGAAAAACAGGATTATCTTTAGAACATCGTTCGAAGGCGATACGAGGGTTCTCACTGTCGCGGTTTGAATGTGTCAGCCAATCAACGGCCTATTTTCTCTCTCTCCCTCTCTCTCTCTCTCTGTCGAAGGTTCGTTCTGCGTCTCCTCGACGTTGCATGACACTTTTCCAACCTACCGTTACGACGCTCGATACGTGTCATTGTATGCAAGGTGTCCTTCATTCACTTCTAGCATCTATATATGATATTACGGATAGATGGTATTATAATAGAAAGTTTGAGAACATGAAACATTGGAATCGATGCATAACACGGATGCATGCGTGATAAAACGGACAGCGATAAGAAGGCGAGAAAGTTGGAACCGATAGAAAGGGAATAAATAATAAACAGCTGTAAGAAATTTAAGGAATCGCGTTCCTTTTCCGAGTACTTAGTTCGGCTTTACAGCGATAAGTGTCGGCACCTGCTAACATATGTATATATTAGCGAGAGTCTCTCAATCAGAGGAGAGACTCAGAGAGAATCGAGGAGAAGTGAGTCGCGAAGCAAGAGTTAAGTCGAAGACTTATTTGGTTAGGCTCATCGCATTATATTAGCAGTTAGTTGCGCCACGGCGTTTGTGAAGAAGTGTTTCCTATGCGTGCGTGTTGTGAATAACGGCAGTACCGCGTAGTCTACCTCAAGGGTAGTTTAGCCTCATTGTGGACTTTGGATTGTAAGACTGACTCTTTTGGACATTTGATTGTTAAGTTTCATATAGCACCGCATGATCTGGCAGAACATTATTTCTTCTCCCTGTTTCCTAGCCTGGAAGTCATTCGGACCGAAATACCTCTTACACAGCAAAGGGATAAATAGGAGTTTTTAATTATGGTCTTGCGAACATTCCGCAAATACACGTCCTGTTTTATATTTTCGAGTGTTATAATTAATTAATTAATCTTAGTACAGCATTCACAGTTCATGGCGACCCTTTCGCTGTATACATCTCGCTGTATATACAGGAGTATGTTTCACATGAGTAAAATTTCAGAAGTGAATTCAGAAATAACACAAAAAGTTCACATAAATCAACATTTGTTCGAGTTATGGACGTACGAGGGCAGTCCGATAAGTACTTAGCCTACAAAAGAAAAACGAAAATTTTGGAAAAGTGGCGATTTATTTCTCAACATAGTCTCCTTTTAGCTCGATACACTTGACCCAGCGATGCTCCAACTTCTTTAACCCATCTGAAAAATACGTTTTCTCGAAGTCTGCCTCCGTGGCGGCGATGACCTCCTCAATTGGTCGAATTGAACTACGAACTGCTGCCCCATCCACCGTATTCTCCAGATTTGGCCCCGTGCGACTTTTTTTGTTTTCAAACTTGAAAAAGTCACTCGCCGGGCAGAAATTTGAGTCGTATCGAGCTAAAAGGAGACTATGTTGAGAAATAAATCGCCACTTTTCCAAAATTTTCGTTTTTCTTTTGTAGGCTAAGTACTTATCGAGCCGCCCTCGTATGTTTGTTAACTCTGTCAAGTCTTCAGAATTTGATCCACCGAATGGTCACTTCTGTGTTATAACGGTAGGCAACGTATTCCGCCAGCGTATTAAAGAAGGTTGGCAGCGAATCAGTACAACACCTAGAATGTTCGAACGTATTAGAAGACGTTCAGAAACTTGTCTTCGAGCTTAAGATGTGGTCATTTTCTTTTGAGACAAAAATATGTGAAGATACTAGCTCAATTTGTAACGAGAATTAGTAAAACACGTCTGTAACTCGGATAGAGCAAATGTTTCTATAGAGTTTTTGTATTTTTTGTGTCGTTAATTAATTTCTAAAATTATCTTGTGTCCACATGTCCTGTCGTCGAAAAGTAGTTTTTTTCAATTGCATATGTCATGTATGTACGTTATAATAAGCCCCTCATTATTTGCGGCATCTCGTTTGAATCTTTCAAAAAGTTAGACTTTCTTTTATTATATTCTTTACACACACACACACACATACAGTGTCACACAATCGAATATCGTACGACCATTTTCGGTTGGAACGCGCCGCAGCGAAATAAGACCTTTGTTTTAGGTCGATGATATCCACCTATTTAGATAAATGACTTATAGAGCCGATATATATTTGTCAAGTTACATTTTTAACCGGGCAAGATGCTTATTTAGGGGGGAGGGTATCCACGCACAAATATCGCACGAAAAGAACTATATGTTTGCTCATTAAAAATAAAAAAATCGTAGACAGAGAGATACGTTATTTTATTGCAAAACAGTCGTACATATTATTTAAAGAATGATCAATCGAGTCTAGTCATAGAATGGCGCATAAGATCCCAGCGATAACGATGCAAAGCAATGTCAAGGACAATCCGGACGCGCCTCCACAGTCGTGGATCTCGTACTCCAAAGGATGTTCCGTGAAGCAGCTCTCCAGTCGACGTCTCTTTAGAGCGTTCAACGGAATCTTATGGCAGGGTTTCTCGGCCGTGCCATTAGTATATTCAGTAGGCTCGATGTTGACGGGCGTTACCTCCAATCTCCTGTAGCACGTCGGATACATGCTGTCCACGACGACTAACAGCAGATTTGTATGCGTTACCTGTCGGTCAGAGGTAAACATCGCAACTGTTTCGTTAACCTTTTGGTGTACTAAACGAAAAAGCACTCGTACGTACACCATCCCCGGCTCATCGGAATATTACGTGTATAAGATTTAATAAAACTGACGCAGTAAATAATATTTATATTGATTTTACCGTTGTAGATGTTCAAAAAAAATATTTCAAAAATGAGGTGTCATAGAGAAAAATGATACAAAAGTTATCGTTGAATATCAAGCAAAACTCCCGTCAACGTGTTGTTTGACAATGAAAGAATCAATGGATTACATACGAGGATCTATCGAGGATCTATCGAGACGCGAAAAAAATACTCACTCTTTGAGCGTAGTACGGCCTCGAGCAATAATCGGAGTGATTGGTGACGCCTTTGGCGGCGACGGTCTCGTTCAACATATAGAGAGTCCTCTTCTGATCACACGGATAATGGTACAAGTAAGGTTTCGGCCGTGGTGGCAGTTCAGGTGCGTCTTCGTCGCTGTGGATCTTACCGTGGATGCCGGGAATATTCACAAACTGGGCCGAGAACCACGTCAAGCGCAACATAAGCCACAGAAACTGCCTCCAGACGTATCGTAACGGCTCCATCAGACTGCTGGCGGAATTGTCGACTCGCTGAAACAATTTGCGATATTGCTTTTTTTTTCATCATCAAGGTGATGAAAGAGAACCGTTATGATAAAGGGGACCTTCCTAGTGGCGCTTTAGCGGAGCGTTCATCGTGCTCAATTTGTAAAAACAATATATACCATCAAGACTAAATTTACATCTTCTAATGAGTAACTTTCTCAATCAACTCGAGTCAAGCATCGCCTAGTCGTGGTACTCACAGTCTCCTGGCACCAAGCTTGATAATCGTAGATCTCGATCGAATTGTAAAGACCCTGACCGACCATGGACTTCATGACGGCGCCTTCCTGAGTGCCCATGAATTGGCCGGTGTCGTTATGCGCCTCCGATATCACCACGTAACCATTTTGATCCAGTAGATAGCAATCGATCCATTTGTGGGAACAATTCATCAGTGGATTTGTCGTCACCGAGGTGAGCTCGATGAATCTCTTGTACAGGCCTGTCATCGGCATCTGGAAGCCCACGACGGCCGCCGGCGCCTTTTTACCGCCATCCTTGGGTGACAGGCTCATGGAAGCCGTCACCATCGCGTCCGCGCCCGCTTCCCACGGAACTGCAAGCAAAATTTCGTTCTCTTGATGACTACCTTCTCTTGTGCGATTAAAGATAACCAGCCAAGAGAGAGAGAAGCCAATGAACCTTTGGTAATTAAAAATGTTAGGCTTTCATATTAACGCGAAAACATGTCTCTTTGTCCCGCTGCACGGATGGCTTCCTTGTTCATGCGATCGAAACTCACCGGACAAATAGATGCTGTTCGGGTCCAGTTCGTTCTGGAAGATGGCGCCCTTATACCAAGGCTCATTGACGGCTCGTCTATGCAGGTCACCGAAGACGATGCCATCGTCCGCATCGGGAAATTCGTTGGTGCGAAGATGATGCCATCTGGTAAGGCCGCTCTGCGTGGCGATGAAGCGCAGAAAAATACCGTAGAACCGTGCCAAGTCCCGCGCCCTGACCGGAAGATCCTCCACGTAGTCTCCGCGGAAGCTGTTGATGGTGGCCTTGGCGTCAAACACCAACAGTTGCATGAGCTCCTTGTTGCAATAGTAATCCTCGTGCGAGAGCGTCTGCCTGCCGCAGTCAGGGTCGTCCAAACTCTCATCAAAGTTCTCGTCCACCGGCGGATAAGCTTCGTATTGCTCGGCCCATCGCCATCCTGGCCGGCTCAACAACGCCAGGAAATGGCGAAGCTCGTCCTCGGGACTGTCGAATCGGTGACCCTCGAGATAGTGGTAACGGCAATACACCCAGCTGGGGTGAACGCGCCAATGATCACCCTTGAAGAAGTCCGACACGTTCACGTTCATGTTCTGGTTTCGGCGAATCTCGTCGCCGACCTGAATGAATTCAACGTGCGATCACTTTGATGTTGGTACGCGCGCGTGTGATTACCGAGTTGCATCTCGAACGATATATCCGACGTGGATATATTTACTATTCCTTTCCTTTCTGTTGGAAGAAATTCTTCGAGTAAAATTGGGCATCTTTTTTATTCGAGGAATCCGTTTCTTCCAATAAAAATCTGGTTTCTTTTTAAGATATTTTACATCTGACAATAAATTTACGTAGAGTGAAAAGGGAGGGACAAATTTTCGAGAGACAACAACTAGCAGCCCCGATAATGCCCTTTCGACCTTGATCCATGTTGTTCCATAATGGGGTATGGCGACTGCGAGGCCAAACGGTGTTCCTGGCAAAGGCGCGTAAAAGTAATCCCGTCTCTCGAGGGTCACACGACGATTGTCGTCGTAATGCAGTTTCACGGGGATTCCCCTTATGCTACCTCGCTTGTGATCGACCAGCGCCGATCGCAGCTCCAATATCTCCGGACCCGGGTTCCTGCGCTCATTTAAGAGAAAAAAAAAACGAATGATTCAGGCAAGATAACACACATGGTCTGGAAATATTTGTAGCGAGTTGATTAGTAATAATTTACTTTCTATTTTTCCCTAAAACGACAAGAAACAATTTGACGCCGTTATAATGTGAGTGAGATTTTTCTTCTTCTCTTTTGCTTCCCGATTTTCTGACCGACAGAGAAACTCTTCTCTATTCTTACGATATTTACAATCCTTGCGATATAGCCGACGGTAAAGCGTGTTAAAACATTACCTAGGTCCGCGGCCGTCGTCGAGTATTTCTACCTCGGTGAGATCGACACTGTTGTAGTTCAATTTCAGCCGGCCTCTGTAGACGGGCCTGAGATCCGGATGCAGTATCACATAACCGTTGTTGGACACGATGAAGGCGTAACCGTTCACACCGAGCTTGTACGGCAACGTGAGCTTGCGGATGTCGTCGATCGGCACATCCGTGCCGGCCACGCCGAGCAGATTCGTCACGCGACTTTCGTTATTGCGATCGAACACGGATGTACTGACGGAGGTCAGCAGTCTATATTCCTGCCAGGCGGTGGTGTTCAGTTTGGACGGGTCCTCTTCGATGTTCTCTTTCTTATGCAGCTATGAAAATACGCGAATATCACGAGAATGTCATGATGAAGACGCGATGTTTCTGGCGTTAAAGGGATACAAGGGCGAACGCTATTTAATACGTCGGTTTTCGCGCGGTGGCACACGGGATCAAACGGAATCTCGCGAAAACCGATTGTATGTACGCCATGTCACACGGATCTTCTTTCTCCGAAGAAGAAGGATTTTATGGAGCAACATATATTTTCGGAGAAAGAAATATGTCCCTTTCAATTTTGTTCAAATATATATATATATATATATATGATGATAATCTTTTTAGTTAATTGCAACGTAAGGGAGCGATGATTATTTGTTAATAAAAAGAATCTTTTGGTCACTAAAAATTATCCCGATTGATTAAACCGGAATTGAAGGGATGAATTGAATACTATTGTCCTTTCGTTTTAATTGATAAGCCCTGTGTCGGGGTCGAATATATCACTTACACCGTGACCGCCGGTTACGAGGTAATCTCGCACCGCCATCACTTTCGAAGAATCGCTCGTCTCCGCTTGATTCCGAACACCTTGCGTGCAATAGCTCGCAACACCTATCTAACGAAAAATAGCGACACATGGCGAAAAGGTTCGCCCAGCTAACAGCGGCGCTACACCTCAGGGGAATTAAATTCTTAGCAGGCTAACGACTGGCTGTGTGAACCATTCGGTAAATCTACTAGCGAGAACCCAATACTCAGCGATTAGATATTTGCAGGGTGTGCGCGCGTGTGTGTTTGTCCAGCTCTCTGACATTTGAGCGCACCATATTGGTTGAACTAAGCACTTTTGGTCTCGAGCGAGGTAAGCGATTAGTGTTGCATTCCTTTTAACGATACATCTATACACGATAGAGTTGTTGGGAAATAATAATCACTTGTACAATAATAACGCTCCATTTTTTCCAATATCATTCCAGCATCTCGCTCCGCGCTTGATCTCCGACATATTATTACCAAGCGAAGTCATCAAAAGAACCGTGCGGCAATCGCGCATGGATTTCAATCCTCTCCTTAATAATGATCTTGTTTTTAGAAAGTTCATCTTCTTTTTCGCAAAAAGTAAGCCAAAAATATTTCCGACAGTGTTACAGTCTGTCACACAAGAGTGTCGGAGATATCTTTGAAACTTGATGCCTAATGAAAGCGAGACCACGATAATCTAAATGTTAGCTAAGTTTCTTTCAGATACGTTTGTGTCATTAAAGAGAAGAGAGCTTCAGAGATGAATGCTGCGTATACAAAACGGTTTGAGGCGGTTTTCCTGTGTAATCACCCGAAAGGCCGAAAATGAGTTTTACAAGTGCTGCTAAATACCTGCATAAGTCGTCACAGTTCGTTAGGAAGTGGGTAAAACGATATAACAAGAAACAAAAAGTGTCGATGACTTTCCAGATCGCGGCTCAAAGCGAAAGACTACCAATAGGGAAGATTCTTCGATTTTTTGAGAAAAATTCGAATCTTTCTTTATAAAGAGGATAAGCAGTTTTGGCAGAAAAGGGTGCAAACATTAGTATAATGACACTGAAACGTCGTTTGGAAGAGCATAATGTCAAATGGCGTAGTTCAATATCAAAACCGTTACTTTCAAAAATCCATGTCGAAAATCGTCTGGCGTGAGCTCATCAAAATATCGATTGTGACTGGAGCAACATAGTGTTCAGTGATGAATCTTCTTTTTGGGCCTGGTATCCTATTACACGTTTGGTCTAGCCGTGGACAACCAATAATAGAAAGGAGTGTAAAACACCTGACAAAAGTGCATGTTTGTTTTAACGTACGGGATTTCAGGAGTTTGTGCGTCTTCACAGACAATTTGAATACACAAAAAATGTTAAAATTGTATCAAAAGGGACTTCTCACATCAGTTAAACGTTGGTTTAATGAAATTGAGGACGAATGGGTTTTGCGAGAAAATAACGACCCGAAACATCGAAGTCGAATTTACACCGAATAGAAAGCAAAAAATGGCATCATCATATTGAATTGGCTTTCCCAGTCCCCTGATGCAAATCCGATAGAAAATGTGTGGTCCATAATGAAGCACAAACTTAAGGGAAAACGTATATTAAAATTAAAAACCTTAATAAAACGTATTCGTCAAATATGGAGATCGCTACCAGTGTCATACGCCGAGAAATCGATGCCAGAAAATATGCCAAGAAGATGCGAAGCCATAACGGAGGAGATTGGACTCACTATTAAAGTAAGAATGTGTTTTATATACACTTTCGATTTATCGAAATAAATTTACAAATAAATTTATATTTATAGAGATATCGCTCTTGTGTGACACGACTGCGCAGAGTCGCATCCTCGGTATCTGTTGTGTCATTGACGATATCCAATCGTCAAAATGGAATCTTTTCTACTGTGCGTGGTCTACGGGCGAAAAAAAAGAAAAGAATCACGTTCAGTGGAAAATTGTTTGCGTCGGCGTCTTTCCTCAAGAGCTCACGCCGTAATGTTCCGATGTACGCAACTACTCCGTTTGGCATTCGAAGGAACATTCATCAATCATACAGCAACGGGGAGTGCAGACCGGGGGGGAGGGAAGGTGCAATACAGATATAAACAGAGCGCCTGAAAAGCCTGGGAAAGACGGGGGATTCTCTTGAGAGATCGTTTTCAACCTGTTGTATGTAGATCGCGTCCTCGTTAACTCGCACGCCCAGTCGTTTTCCCTTCAGGAGTTTTTGCAGCCGCGAGTATTGCTCCTCTTGCTTCATCACCACCCACAGCCAAGCGGCAAGTGCCGGATTCTGATTGGAATTTCACGTACGTTTATATTAACCCACCGAGCCGCCCTGTTCGTCTCAGCAATCGTATAAGACACATCTACACANGGGGGGGGGGGGGGAATACACGCGGAACTAAAAGGGGGAAACGAACAGAAATGTTTTAAATCCGGGGTGTCTTTCTTCCGTTGTACGATCGATCCCATCATCGATCCATAGGAATTTCAGAAAGAACGTCAGCAGCACGAACTCGCTGAAATCGCGATTTTTCCAGTCAAGCAGAATTTTCATTCAATTCATACTTGAAATAATATGAAAATTGCACGATATATTATCGTAATTTACGTCGTGATTACGCCGTCAATGAGCGTCAACGAACGTCCGAATATCTTCACTTTCTAATTCGAAAGTCCGCGAAATAAAAATCCCTTAAATTATGTTGCTTCCTACCGTGACATCGGCGTAGACGTGCGTCCACACAATCGGGTGCACCACATCCTGAAGTACCAGCGGACGCGCCACGACCGGGATGTACTTGAGTACTTGCTCGCGCACTTCCTCCTGCGTCTGCACGTGTCTGTAGTAGCCGCGATTCAAGCACGCCATCCACTGGATCTCCCGCACCTTCGTTACCTCGCGGCCCAAAAGATACGTGAATACGCGCACCGGTATGTGAGTGCTATTCTCTTTCCAATTCCACTTTTGGAACACCTGCGGAAGAAGAGATACACTCTTCGCGAAGGAGCTGTCTTTATATCTCAATCAATTTTTCGATTCTTTCGCTTTGCTAGGAAGCCAGTGGAATCATCTCCTCCGTTGTTCTTACCGTTCACTTAATTATTCTCTCTAATTCTCTCTTCAACTTTTGAAATTAGAATCGTTATACGAAGTCGCATTCCACAGTCTTAGTACCGTGTCGAATCCCCTATATATATATATATATATATATACACGAGTATATAGGCGAAAATACCTAACCAGATGGACGAAACGGTAAGAATATCTTGATGCTTCGCGGACGTTTTTGCTGCTGAGAGAACAAACCCATAAATTGCGTTTGGAAAACTTCTTTTGATCGTTAAAACACACGAAAATAGACGAGCCTTCGACGTGACGTTTTTCTTCCGTTCAGGATTCCTCCGATCGACCGCGAGCTTCTCCGGCGGCTATAAAAAGCGACGGGTAAAACGCGAAATTTTACACCGACCGTACAACGGTACAACCGGAGTAAAGCCGTCGATTTGGCGGGCAATTATTACCCTGAAAAGAAAGGATTCGGAAGGTCTTCGTTATCTTCCAGAGGAGAAGAAACTTGCGAAGAATAGTCTGACCGCGTACACTTCAATAAGATGATTTATCGGTTGTATCGTCATATATTATTCGTACGCCAACGAATGGAAAGAGATCATTCCTTGACAAAAACTGTCGGAGATGCAATAATTTCTCTCTCATCGCCAATGACACGTAGCTCAGCGTTTTGAGAAACGCCGCGTTATGGTATGTGATTTTTCAAACAAGAAGATAAATAGGAGGAAACAAAAGGAAACAAAGGTTAATTTTACTAGCGGCGAAACTCCTCCCATGTAAACACACTTGTAATATCAACGGAGCTTTAGTTGATCGATCGGATCGATCAAATAGTCATTACAAATGGTAGTCATACACATTTCCCATGTATTTGTAATTTTTCAATAAACGAATATCTCAATAGATATATTTTCTCTTGATAACTTTTTAACAAGCAACGAGCTAAAACTTGCTGAAGGTTACTTAGGAGAACGACAACATCATGGGTCCCTTATTGTGACATTTTCACCCATAAAGTACATTTATATATTATATGCTAATTTATGTGTGTGTGTCTATATATATTGCAACTTAACAAAGAGTTCAAATGACTCTTAAACTTTAGTTGTAATATCAATTATAACGAAAAGCAACCGGTCTTTTATTTGCCTTTCTAATCGCCTTAATTGAATATGATAATCTTCGAGCGATGAGAGTATATGGTGAAAACATACATACCTACGTTATTTATATTAATGTCTGATATAATTTTGAGAAGAATCGGCCTCAACAGCCAATTGCACAAAAATATATGGGTGTGCAAAAATATCCTAAGCGAAGGTAGTTATCGGAGTTATTTTTTGTATGTTGTGTAACATGAGTTGCACAAACGCGAAAACGTCGAATTTGTGGATTGGAACTTGCCAGAACCGACGTCCTTTTAATTGTTTTTAGTCGAGAAAAACGACATGCGTGCGATCATCGATCCTTCGGTCGTGCAGCAACGGATTACATAGAGTTTGATCACATGCTGTTTACGTACAGCACGCGCACCGCTCATACATAATTAACTATCTCCTTCAAGGATACACAATTTTGATGTTTATGACGATAAAAACGATATGAACATAAAAGCGACGTAACGGAAATGCTAATCCTCTTCTTGTATCGGCTCACCCGATTTCAATTACAAACGAACCATTGAACACCCGCCGCTGTAATTTTGTTTAGCGCTCTTTACGTATGTATGAACAAATAACGCGACTCTCTTTCTCAGAGCGCTGATCTTCGTTGACGGGAAGAAAAAGAATATCTCCGACAATTTTTGCCAAGTAACGTCTCCTTCCGTTCGTTGACGCGTATGACAATCGACAAATGATTTTGCCGATCTATTACCAATTCTTAAATCAAAGCGAAGGAGGAAGTGGAATTTGTCGGTTGCGGGCGTTCCTGTCTCGTAGAATCGCGAAATAGAGCTTTGCACCGTTACCTCCGTCAGATTTCCGGGAACGCCATCGGTAACGAGCATGATGAGCTGATTGCACGGCGTGCCGGTGTCGCATCCACGTGTCTCTCTGTAAGTCTCAAGCAGGCTGAACGCCGCGGTGAAGGCCGCTGTGAGATTGGCAACGCCTTCAGTCGTCACGTTGCTCATGGACTTTTTGAACGTATCAAGATTCTCCGGGGTGGCCTGAATCAGCATGTCCTTGAAGCACGGCACCATGTCGCTCGTGTCATTACCGTACTTTAACAGTGTCACAAAGTCGTTGTTCGACAAGGTGTCCAGGATCGAGCTGACTGTTGTCCTGGCTGTCGGCAAAATATCATCATTTCACTCGACGAGCCAATTCTTGCGCGCGACTCTCCGATCGTGAAATGAACGACGGAGCGATGGATAAATGCGTAAACTCGGCCGAGAAAACCTTCTCTTTGATTTGATTAAAACTTGTACATATTTTCAACGATTCTCTACGATCAATTCTAAGCGTGCGTGTGTGCACAATGTAACAATTTTCCCCCGCAAAATCGTGTAAATACCCATACAACATGTGTGAGACATCTTGAAACTCGTCTTGATAAATTCTCCAGAGGGACATTCGTACCGATCGTCTTTCCCATGCCCGTCATGCTGCCACTGGTGTCCATCAGGATCACCATATCCTTGCTGCATGTGGCCGCCTCGATGAACCAGCTGCGAAGCCGGCAGTCGTACAGATCGGCAGGCGGATCCTCACCGTCGTCGGTCGTGCTCGTGCGCCACTCCATGGCGGGATATTGCCTCAGCACACCAGTAACCGAGCCAAAGTACTGCCAGGACAATGCCGGGTCGGACTCGTAATTCTGACGGAATATTTCGTCCAACGGCTCGCTCTTCATTATGTCCTCCACCACTTCCGGCGTGTGATCAAACACGTTGGTAGGTATGTGGACCGACGAGTAGCTAGTGTTCACCGGGATGTTGTAGAAGTGCGAGTCCGCAGTCAGTTCCATTTCCCTGGAATCGAAGGAATCTCGATGTTATTACTGATCCTTCCTCCAGAAACGTATTCATTCTTTCTTTCGTGCGAATGTTACTTCAAAACCGATGCAACGTGCGCGCGCGAATACTTTAGCTGTATATAAGGATTATTGCGTTACGTAAGTTTGATAATAAAGTGTTGGAATTGTTGGTTTTAACGTTGTTAGATTGTGTTGGGGGAGCATCATGTCGTAATTTTGAAGATAATAGAATAATAATAATAGTAATAACAATAATAACTTTATTGTGTGCACCAAAAGTATGTAGCACAAATAAGATAGTGCAATCCGAATAAAAGCGAGGCATATACTTCCCGCAAAAGAGAAATAAAACACAATACAAAGAGAGAGAGAGAGAGAGAGAGATACGATAGTTGGGCTCTACGTAATAGTTTTCTCCACAGACACATGAGAAACGGTGAGATAGAACCATCGAAGAATCCGCAGCACTTTTTTCCGATAAAGATTCTTCCTCCGAAATGGAATAAAAGAATCACGCAAAGTTATCCAAGATATCTACGCAAAATTTTGACGTAAAAGTCCGATTGTTTCGTCTTTACAAGAGTCTACAATATCATCCTATTAATACGGTCCTTTACAATTAATTTGTCGAATCTTTTCAAAGTTTTGATTTGAATAGCGTCTAGTTCGCTACAAGAAGGAAAATGTAAGATTGAACGGTCGCTCACCTATATACGCTGCTGTTGTCTGCGTCTTTCTTAGGTTTGCTGGAAATGTAGGTGAAGTTACCCATAGTGGACGGGTCCCATTTTTCCGCGATCTTTTCGGCTTTCATTCGAATGCAGGTGACCGCATCCATCTTTCGGCGCAGCATCCTACCCACGTTTTCGCTGATTATGCTTACCAGTTCCTCGCCAGACTTGTCCTCCACCCGCGTGTTCATGCTCTTATATTTCTGCAGTAAATTATTATCTGTTTAGAGAGTTTCCGACATTATCTTCCTCTTGTGTGAAATTTCGAGTTAAGCAGTTTGAATCTCATAGCTGTGACGTCTCGTCTATTTGAGATTTTTCCTCTTGTGAAATATTTTTTTGGGAGATGCTTCTCTAGAATATTCGCTTTGTTAAGGGGGCATCTGGAAATTTTTGAATTTTCGATTTTGGGGATTTTCTTAAAGCACGTTGTTTGAAGAATATTCTCTTCAAATTGTACTGTGCAAAACATTTACTGGTTGGCTAACCGTTGCCCAATATCGGCGTTTTAGCTCGTTCCTCTTGTTTAAGACAAACATAGTATATAAAAGTATGCGCACCAAGCAGCGCGAAGGAGGAAAGAACATTATGATAATCAAAGAGCAATTAGTTTTCCAAGTTAACTTTATAAAAATAAATAAATAAAATAGAAAATCTTCTTTCATCATTTAAGTAAAGAAAGTGTCATCTCGATCGTCACAAATCATCATCATCGTTTCAAATACCGACTGTTTCTTATTTCGAACAATCCACACTCACTTCCAGCAATTCCTCGGGACGGCCCACTTCGCTCGCAAGGTCCCATAATTCAGTGCCTAACTTGTCCGCCCATCTGCCGACGCTAGAAGAACAATTGGTTCAATTTGATGTTGCTGATTCAATATACATGTGAGTTATATTCAATATACATGTGAGTTTTGCTCATGATGAGTAAGTAAATAGGACATAAACGTCAAACGTTAGTATAGTTTGATACATGACGTATACCTTTAACATTGCAATTAGGATCATGTATATAAAATTAAACATCGTATGAAATCCGAGCAAGCAAGTGTCGAGGCATATACGAATAGACGCAAAACAGAGGGATGCGAACACAATTGATTCATGTCGACGGAATTCGCGTCTGGTAATCTCGATATCTTATTACTCGTTATCTATAATTTATTGATCTATACATACATATAGATTGTAACGTCTCGACTAGTCAGCTTTCTCGGCAAAGTTAACACGTGAAGAATGTCACTCAAACTTTCTCCATTTCTCTTAACATTTACGAAGTGTACATGCGCGATCTGAGTGATGAATGCGAAACTCACATATGCGCGTCTTTGGCCAGACACACGACGAACACCAGCGCGAGGTAAGAGATGAGACATTGACCTGTCGTCAGTAACGGGCTCACATTGAATGTGTGCGACGATTCGTTCCGAATATTATTCGAAACCGAAGTCTTGCCCGAAAGTCCAGACGCTCGACAATATTAGGAGAACGTTTTGAAAATTCCGAGTGCAAACGAACATCTTTGAAAGTCTTGAATGTTTTCGACTTCGGGTTCTTTGTCTCACAGCAAGTTGAACAAATATTTACATGCTCTTGCACGAGAAATAGGCATTTGTCGCGCGAAATGTCTCCTCTGTTATTGTGATATATTAATGAGAAATATAAAAGAATATATCACACAATAAAAAATAGAAGGAAACTTTTCTGTATCTCAAAATTAGGTTTGTTCAATGTGTTCGGTCGTGAATATAGAAAATGGACTAAGCAAAACATCGTTCTTATCGGAATGAAACCTGCAGTACCTCTGTTGTTGAAATTACACACAAACGGCCATTACATTCGAGGTTTACAAAATTTAATTAATGTCTGTATGCAAGATAATCGACTGACTAATGTTACATTATGTTATCAAGCTTGAAAACGCGAATTTTACGAGTTTTGTTCAACTGTTGACAACGAGATGAAAACATTTGATTACTGATTTCAACAAGGAAGAATTATATTTTCAATTTTCTAAGCACAACAGCGAGCTTTAATCAATTCGTTTCTATATTTGAATTTGAAAATTGTACGCTTTTTGACAGGTAGATTTATTATACGAGAAAAACGATCGTTCCATTCGTTTTACGCGCTCATAGTTTTCTCACGCCGTAGTTTTCGTATATTACCTCTAATATTCATGGTTGCTTCCATCTGTACGCAGTTACGTACGTTTAAAAACCACTGTGCCACAGGACGGCAATGTCATTATCGCGTCAATCAGTCACATCTAGACTGGGAGAATTTTCGGTTACGAGCGATATTCGGTGCGAGTCGTCGTACGAGCGAATCGCTTGTGGAACTTCGAGGAAGCGATGCCACTACCTGTCGTCGGCATGAACCAAATTCGTCTCTCTTCTGTTTACTCTTCTTACGATTCTTCTATGCACGAACGGATAATCCGTTCCGGCGACGCAAGAACACGACGCTTCACCCGACTGAAATGAAAGAAAAAAAATACTCCGAAAGTTCGCGACGACTGATCGGATCCAATTTTATTGGAGTCTGCCGGCGGCCGCGAGGTTTACCTACGTAAGCGGGTGTTCCGCTGATTATTTTTGGCACTCGAGCAGCGCCGTCTCATAGCGCAGGGAACCTTCTTGCTCTCTAACACGGTCCACGGGTATTAATAAAATCTTGCCGGCCGACACACGCCTGGAGATGCACGAATTGATTGACGGAGAGTTGCGTGATCCATATAGGAGGAAAAGGGCGGTTGCGTGGACAGATTAAAATTTTCAATCAAGCCGCCTCTCTCTCTCTCTTTCTCTCTTAAGCATAGTACCTCCAAAGTGTAAAGCGGAGAATTTTGTCTCACTCGACTCGACTTAATGGATGAGTAACGCAACGAAATTTCTTGGAAAATTGCCGATAAGTTCACCGGCACGAATAAATCCTCACTAGTGCCAATACGTACAAACACTTGCGCAAGGATGTTCGTGATTTTGCAACCATTTCGTGATACGCGCTAAGGAGCACGATCAAAAGGCTGTCGGAAACGCAGACGACGGAATACCTCCAAGAACGTCGATCCGCGTAAGGTCTCCCTCCTGCGGAGGATATCGCGTGCGTGTGTAACGAAAGACTCATAAATCTGGTTACACACGCGACGCTGTACGGCGTTTCATGGATAAGTTCTCCCGTCGTCTCGTAATTAGTGTCCATTATGAGGCTTCTTTGACTCTTTTAAAAGAAAGAAATCGCCAAAATCCTATGCATATTTCAATTTTCTTCGGATATCTCTACTCTGTCATCATTTATCGACGAGCACAACGATAAAAAGTTTTGGCTGGCGGCATGGAACGCGTTTCAGTGGAGAAAGGATCACGCTGAGTTATTTTATGCCATTAGCGCATTTCTTCAAAAAAGAAATAACTTACCGAATGGAATTATTTATCAGATGTTAATATAGCGTTGTAATGTTACTCCACAAATTGACAATAAGTGCAAATCTTTATGTAGGACAGGCCGTGTGAAACGCAGTTGTTACATGAATGACTTTATAAGTGCAGCGTCACAGGCTGTACACTTGCCCGCGCACTTATGAACAAGCAACTTTTGTGCACTATAAAAGCGACGTTTTGCTGCAGTTGTGTTGTCACTCGTGAAACGTCAGAGAAACCTCAATAGTTATTTGCACCGTTGTCGCGACGTAAAAAAAATATTTGCGTGCGAATTGTCTGAATTTGATTAAATTTTTTTTTCCTGAAATTTCTTTCAAGTAATATAGAAAAATAGTCTCGGTAACAGTTAGCAAGATGAATACGGTAGGTGCAATCGATTTTCCGCACTTTCGTTTGTCGGTGAAACAAAAAATCGTTTCCTTGCCGAAAACAGCGACATACATGTAATTTATAACATTTTTTATTTAATGTAATATAACGTAATGGCGTATAATGCCACATATTAATTGATCCTATGACTCCTCTCTCTCTCTCTCTCTCCCTCTCTCTCCTTCTCCCTCCCTCTATTTCCAAATATTTTTACCGAGCCATCTCGAAAAACATCGTTTCGCGCACCAACATGGTTGAGAAGATTTTTACAGTTTCTTCTCCACCTTTCATCCCTTTTCTGTGAAGTGGCGAGCGTTCACAAACGCCGGTCCGGTGCTTGAAAATTGCCGATTTCGCGAGGACGAATTCGAAGAACGATTATCTTTTTCACGAATGGCAGTTGCGAGACAGAAAAATTGGGAATCCATAAAACGCTCGATTATACGTCCAGACAGCGGCAGACAGACCTTGACTCTGTTTCTCGAGAATCGGTCCCGGGAGGAAATTCATGAGGGTACGAGCCTGCGAAACCGTCAATTTCGGAACAAAACGCGACAAAGTGAATGCGTCTCGCAAGTGCGGAAAATCGATGGTCGAAGTCGAGTGATAAATATTAATTGCTGCAGAAACGTCGGAAGAACCGGGTTACCGGTATTATAATAGCTGTATAATAGCCGTATATAATAGCCGAACGTTATAGCACAGTAATTGCAAAAAACATTCGTCTGTAACGGTGACCGATAGTCGCGCGTGCGCTTAGTGCCGAGCGTCAAACGTATGATATCGCCAAGTTCCAGGAGATAACGACAATGTACGATGTGAATTCGACTGAGGATAATTTCTCCAAATTCTACGGTCAAACGCAGCGACAAAACCACACTGAGTGGATAAACGACGCTATGGAGAACCATGATATTTTGCTCACGCATTTGCTCCTCGACAAGCTCAAGGACCCGTTCGACATCGCGGACGTGGCCTCCTATTACGGTATTTATCAAGTTTCATATAGTCACACAACGTTACATACGCTATCTTTACTTGCAAGGGCGATTCGATAGAGAGAGATATAAAGGCAATGATACACTGTTTCAATAAATAGGGATTTTAGTACGATTAATGAAATTTGCGTTAGTGAAATTTTAATGTGATGAAACGAGATGATAATCGACATTTTTTTTTAGAAAAAGTGAAGTTAAAATTTGATTTGTTACCTAAGCGAGAAGTTTCTTTTCGTCAGTTATCTTTTAACATTTTAATAATGTTTTGATGAAAATAATTTATAAAAAACTCATTTCCAAGTTGTCTTACATCCATATGTGACATTTAAAGTAACTCGGAGTTTTCGATGATGCAAGATAGAATTCCTACTCCTCGAAAAACTTGCTTTGTCGAGGAACGTTCTAACAGACACGAATTTGTTGAACAGAGAGTCTGTCTTTCGGACCGTAATGTTGTCATCGTATATAAGAGAAAATTATGAGTACTGTTAGGAGGCCGCAGACTATAGTGACAAGGCACAAACGCATGTGTTCTCATTCTTAGAATGAGAAAATTATCGTCACAGCTAAACAGTACATAAATGTATTTAACCATTTGACTGCTATGGGCGCATATATGCGTCCAACGAAAACCATCGGTGTGGCCTATGGGCACATATGTGCGTCCGGCGCAAGCCATCGATGTAGACTATGGACGCAAATGCGCGCTCGGCGAAGGCTGTTTACTGCTGTCTCATGTTTATATATAGAGTATTTATGTTACTTACTTGTTATTTGTTCAGTTTTTCAATTTCCAATATCCAAACAAATACATTATAACTATCAAATTACGGCGTTTTAAAACTTTACTATTGGTGAATATATATTGAAAATAAAAAATGACTGAATTCATTTTGCGGTGGACAAAGTAATAATAATTGGATTGTGTATTCTATTATAATGTGTTAATACGCCGCCGATAAGATCCATATAAAAGTATTCAGTCCCCAGCGATCGCTATTGCCGGCCGCACGCCGCTCACGCGAAACGCTTCAATTTTGAGCAGTTTAGCAGTCAAAGAGTTAAGTAGCGTGAATTATTTAACGATGATATGACACATTAATTGCTACGTTGAAAAAGCTTGATTAATAATTGAGTTGGTGATAAAATGATAACTAAATGTTGACATATAAATCTTTCACCTGTTTTAAGCTGCTTCTATATGGATTGACGTTAAAATTGAAAAAAAATACACACATATCTGTATCCCAATGTCGTAGAAGTCCGCCGCCAACCCGTTGAGGAAGCGTTACACCTCTTCTTTGACTTCAAGGGTAAGGGGATATTGCTGATCGATTTCATGGAACGTGGGACAACAATCAACTCAAAAATGCGTTTCATGAAATCGATCAGCAGTAACCCCTTACCCTTGAAGTCAAAGAAGAGGTGAAACGCTTCCTCAACGGGTTGGCGGCGGAGTTCTACGACATTGGGATACAGAAATTGGAGCACCGTCTACAAAAATGCGTAGAAAAAGATGGCGATTATGTAGAAAAATAGAGCAAAGTTTCATCTTTCCAACGATATAAATTTCTATGAGAATAAACAATGTTATCTATTTGTAAAATTGATGAGAACCTTATTTCTGGATCAACCCTCGTATAAACAATATAAACGATTGAGCCCTGTCTATATAAATGAAAGACCCCTTTGAATTGGAAATGTGATACTTAGTGCTCCTTAATACTGTATAATGTTGCTTTTATTAGTTTCATATTTTAAATATGAAACAATTCAATGTATATGACGGGTAAATAAAAATTATTTATATTTATATAATAAGTTATATAATCAGAGATATAGTAATGTGAAGCAGAAATGAATAATATTGATACAAAAACAAATGAGTAAACAAATTCATAAAAATAAATAAATGTGTGTATGTGAATATACAAATAATAAATTATTTATGAATAGCATATAAATTCATAAAAATTGCACAAGTGAACAAAAATTGAACTGCTCGTTCTAGCGAATGCAAACGTACAAGAAATGTTTGTACAAAATATCTATTCAAACTTTAATATATATATCACTGATTTTATTCCTCATGTTTAACCTGTTCTATTATTTTTATGCTCGTTTTTTGCACTCTGAGGCACGGTCTATTAAGCGAAAGAATATGACGAATGCACGAGTGTTTTTGAATAGATTATCCGTCTTCAATACTTGTTTTCTAGCTGACCATATGTTAATATATTACACTTTAAAAAGATAACATGTTAAATTACGATAATATGTTAAATTATGATAATATGTTAATATATTATTCTTTAAAAAGATAATATATTACTCTTTAAAAAATCGTGAAGTCGTGAATTTACTCGTATTTTTTCAAAATGTGCAATGTCGATACTTGCGAATGTTAAATAAATATCATGGACTGAATGTACGTTTAGACATTTCAAAGTTACACAGTGTTTATTACTCGAAAATGCTCAATAGAGTACAATTTGTACCATCCGGATATGTTCGTAATTCGCTCGTAATTCAGATGTAATTCGTTATAATCACTTGTTGTTACGGAAAAGTACCTATTTCCGATCTAAAAGCAGAGTAGTATTCATTCAATTGAATACATACTTTCACGCTCAACAGTTTTCGCGGGCTGAAAATGGCGAGAAATTTTTGTAAGGGTCGTTTACTGCCTAATCCGTATCATACACGTAATCGTCGTCTCACCCTTTCGCTGCAGCTTCAACGCTGCCATCTACGTTTACTTTGTGGGTACGCAAAGTGCAAAGTTGCAAACTGTACGTTGCAGACTTAAGGAATCTTCAAATTTCTCTCGTTGAAATGTTTGTATTCCTCCGAAACATATATGAAAGAATGAATGCGAGAATTCCAC